TATTATAAATGTTATGATTATTTATGAGATACAACATATTAAGCTTTTTTTATAATGCTTTATGCATTAATTATAATGCCTTAAGAAAACCCTTATAATGTATTATAAATACAGGCTTCATAGAAAGTGTTACCGGATTGACAAACAATTGAGAAAAGAAGAGAGAACCTTCAGTTTGTGGGTTTTGCTCTTATATACACTTAAATTTGGAGTTAGATGTCAGTAACATGATTATTCTGTTTGGTTCTCTCTCTCTCTACAACCCCAACAGTGCATAAGTGTTAAATCAGAAATATATATTACAGAGTTAAACATGTTAAAGCAAATGGTTCTTATTTAATTCTCCCTCTCTCTTTTTTTTAATCTCTCTCAGGAGTTGAAGCCTACAGTCTTTCTGTCCATGCAGCAACTGATGGAAAAGGGGGTCTTTATGATGTTGTATTATGTGTGATTGCAAAAATGAGTATATACAGTATATAAATATGCATTCTTGAATCATTCTTGAGTCTTGTGTCTTGCCTCTCTACAAACTTTGAAATATCTGGCTGTGATTTAGTGACTGCAGATGCTGATTTCATTTGATTCCATCTTTATTATACCTGATAATGAGCTAGTTAAACTTAAGGGGGCTAATCAATATACAGTATATTTCAAGAAACTAAGACTTAAGGTACTCCACTTTTTCAGTTGTTTAAAGACTGAAATACATTTTTCATTTATATTTTAAGTGTAAATTCATTTAAATTTAAAATTGTTAACTCAAAGCAGGTATTACACACTTTGTAATTAACATTGATGCAGTTATAAATCAAAAATCACAATTGAAATTAAAAAAAATGTTCCTGAGATATCTTTAACAACATGTACAAACATTACTACAAACTAAACCACCAGGGTCCCAGAAATGCGGTCCTGAAACTGCAGCCTCCGCTATATTATCCAATTCGGTAGGTGGCGCTGTTACAAAAGAATAGGGTCCTAGAACTACGGTCCTAGAACTGCGGTCCTGAAACTGCAGCCTCCGCTATATTATCCAATTCGGTAGGTGGCGCTGTTACAAAAGAATAGGGTCCTAGAACTACGGTCCTAGAACTGCGGTCCTGAAACTGCAGCCTCCGGTTGTACAGGAATACCCTTCTCAAATAAAGTAGATAATTCCTGTAGAAACCTAAATCCAAGCACATCACCACCACCAGCAGAGGGAGATGTTGCTGCTGTGATCCCAACAGACTGCTGAGAATCCACTGCTGAGATTCTTTCTGAATCTTAAAGGGGTGGTTCACTGGGTTTTTTCTAGGCTTGATTGTGTTTATGGGGTGCAGTCTAACATGTGTTAATGCATTGTTTAAAAAAAAAAAAAATGCATTCTTTTTCACATAATTTACCTTTATTCCACACCTCTCCGTCCCTTCTCTAAAAAAAACGGGTTGATCATTTCCTTCTTTTATGAAGCCCCTCCCTCAGAAATAGGCGATGGGCTCTGATTGGTTAGCTAGCCCAGTGTG